GTCTTCACTATAGTGAATTGGGCAGCTCTGTTTATACATAAAGCAATCTTATAGATCCTAAGTGGAAAAAGGAAGACGTAAGCCTGTGGAGCCTACTGCTGCTGGGCTTTGAGCACAGAAGACATGCACGCACACACTAGCACAAATGTCCAGAGCATCCCTGGGAGGCAACCACTAAATAGGTAATGATGGTTGCCTCAGAGGAGAATGGAATGACTGCGGGAGAATTTTAGGAGGGAAAGGATTTCTTTTTATTGTTTACCATTTGAATCTTTGAATTTTATGTCACATGACCCATTTAAAAATATGCATGGATTTAGTGTTTTTTAAAGGAAAGCAAGGCAAAGGATCTGAATAGATGACTCACAGAAGATGAAACATTAATAATAATAACAGGAAAAATGCCTAACAGCACTACAATAGGGTAATTTTTCACTGAAAAGTAGCAGAATGTACTACTCTGTGACTAGGATGTTGGAAAACAGCTCCCATATGTTGCTCATGGTCGTGTAGTTTGATATATCTGTGGGAAGCTCTCTGGCAGTGCCATTGATCGACTGGCAGCACTTAGCCTGTATTCTCTAGATCAGGGATGGGGAGCCTCTTTTCTGGGAAGGGCCATTTGGATATTTATAACAGCCTTTGTGGGCCCTACAAAATTATCAACTTAGAAATTAGTCTAGTATAGGTTTATTAAATTGGCATCCCTCCTACAGTTGCCTGGGCAGGGCCAGACCAGATGATTTAGGGACCTTTATACGGCCCACGGGCTGGATATTTCCCACTTCTGCTGTATTTATGTGTGTGTGTGTGTGTGTATCTATATACATATATATATATATGGAATTAGATATGTATATATATGGAATTAATTTTTATGTAAGGACAGTCACTGTTGCATTGTTTATAATAGCAAAAGATTTATAACGTTACTTGAGTACATGCATTCAAGAATGGAACACCAGGAAGCTGTTACTAGGCAGCTTTTCACGAAGTTATGTAAATATACCTCCAAGTTGATTGGCCAAGTGACAAGAGCAAGGTGCCAAGTCCTGTTAATGTTATTATTTGTAGTTAGAAGCAACTTATGTTATTACATAATCCATCTATAGAAGGATACATAAGAAACTGGGAACAGTGATTGTATTCAGAGTTGAGTCTGGGGGCCGGCACTGTGGCTCACTTGGTTAATCCTCCGCCTGCGGCACTGGCATCCCATATGGGCACTGGTTCTAGTCCTGGCTGCCCCTCTTCCAGTCCAGCTCTCTGCTGTGGCCCAGGAGGGCAGTGGAGGATGGCCCAAGTACTTGGGCCCCTGCACCTGCACGGGAGACCAGGAGGAAGCACCTGGCTCCTGGCTTCAGAGTTGAGTCTGGATAGATGGCAGTCATGTACATAGACACTTTCATACCATTTGAATTTTTTACTGAATGCATCTATTAATAACTTTAAAAGTAAATTTAGGTATAAGCTCCAGGAGCAGGTATTGGCCTAGCAGTTCAGGTGCCTCAGTCTCATATTGGAATGCCTGGGTTTGATGCCTCCCTGTGGTCATGACTGCAGGCTCCTGCTGATGCAGGCCCTGGGAGGCATGGGTGATGGATCAGGTGTGCTACCCACATGGAGAGCTGGATTGAGCTCCCGACTCCTGGCTTGGGCCTCAACCCAATCCTTGTCAGCTAAGGGCACTTGGGGAGTGAACCAGCAGGTGGAAGCTTGCCCTGTCTCTCTGCCTCTCAAATTAATAAATATATAGAACCGCCAATGGTGTCCTATCGCATTTAAAATGCAATTCTGAATTTTTGTTGATGGTCACTAAGAACCCCTGAATCCTTAGTTTGGCTTCTGTCAGCCTCTCCGAGTTTCTAGTTTCCTCTGCTTACTCTGTTCCAGCCCTGTTTCGTTGATGCTCCTAAAGCAGGGCAGCCATTCTCGCACTTCCGGCTTCTGCATCTGCAGTTCCTTGCCTGGGCTCTTCTGAGCCCAGACCTCTGCTCTGCTTGGTCTTTGTTGTTGTTGTTTTTTTTTTTTTGACAGGCAGAGTGGACAGTGAGAGAGAGAGACAGAGAGAAAGGTCTTCCTTTTGCCGTTGGTTCACCCTCCAATGGCCGCCACGTCCGGCACACCGCGCTGATCCGAAGGCAGGAGCCAGGTGCTTCTCCTGGTCTCCCATGGGGTGCAGGGCCCAAGTACTTGGGCCATCCTCCACTGCACTCCCGGGCCACAGCAGAGAGCTGGCCTGGAAGAGGGGCAACCGGGACAGAATCCGGCGCCCCGACCGGGACTAGAACCCGGTGTACCGGCGCCGCAGGCGGAGGATTAGCCTAGTGAGCCACTGCGCCAGCCTCTGCTTGGTGTTTTGACTCGTGCAGAGGATCCCTGCTTGGATGTTTCCTCCACATCGTCGCCCTCCACTCCCTTCATGTTTCTTCCTCACTCTTCCCACCACCTAGAATTATACGTTATAGGTTTGTTTCACTTCTGTGTCTCCCTGTAGAATGTACAGGACTCTGTCTTATTTTCTGCTGCCTCCTCACGGCTTAGAACAGTGCCTGTCTTGGAGTAACCGTTCAGTAAATATTTACTGATTGAATAAACATGCTTTAAACACATTCTGTCTCTCTGTTGTTTATCCTTTAGCTTTGTTTCATAAAGACCTTTGTTTATACATTTTTTTAAAGATTTATTTATTTGAAAGTCAGAGTTACACAGAGAATAAAGGCAGAGAGAGAGAGAGAGGTCTTCAGTCCCTGGAGCCAGGAGTTTCTTCCAGATCTCCCACGCACATGCAGGGGCCCAAAGACTTGGGCTATCTTCTTCTGCTTTCCTGGGCCATAACAGAGAACTGGATTGGAATTGGAACAGCGGGGACTTGAACTGGTGCCTATGTGGGATGCCGGCACCGCAGGCAGCAGCTTTACCTGCTGTGCCACAGTGCCGGCCCTGTATAAATGTTACACATTTTGATGTAGCCAAACAATATAAAACTATATAGGATACTACCATTTGTGCTTTAAACACATGCATACAGCCTTTACTTATACATACAAGGTACTTCACAAACTTTGTGGAAAATGGAATTAAAAAGACAAGTTTGTTTTGGTGCAAAAAATTTTGAAATCCATACGTAGTTTTTTTGTTTGTTTGTTTTTTGACAGGCAGAGTTAGAGAGAGAGACAGAGAGAAAGGTCTTCCTTTTTCCATTGGTTCACCCCCCAAGTGGCCGATACGGCTGGCATGTTGCGGCCGGCGCGCTGCGCCGATCTGAAGCCAGGTCTCCCATGTGGGTGCAGGGCCCAAGGACTTGGGCCATCCTCCACTGCACTCCCAGGCCACAGCAGAGAGCTGGACTGGAAGAGGGGCAACCAGGACAATCCAGCACCCCAACTGGGACCAAAACCCGGGGTGCTGGCGCCGCAAGGCGGAGGATTAGCCTGGTGAGCCGCGGCACCGGCCTATACATAGTTTTTTAATAATTTGCATTTTTTCATGATTTTTTTGAAGACTCGTGTATATTTCACATTTTTTTAAAAAAAATATACTTTAAAGAATTTTTTTTTCCTGGAACCAGTGTTGTGGCATAGTGGGTTAAACTGCCAATTGCAGTGCTGGCATCCTGTATGAGCACCAGTTCAAGTCCTGGCTGCTCCACTTCCAATCCAGCTCTCTGCTATTGCACCTAAGAAATTAGTGGAAGACAGACCAGTGCTTGGGTCCCTGCCACCCATCTGGGAGATCTAGATGGAGTTCTAGCTCCTGGCTTAGGCCTGGCTCAGCCTTGGCTGTTGCAGCCATTTGGAGAGTGAACTGTTAGATGAAAGTTTTCTTTCTCTTTCTCTACTCCTCTCCCCCATAAATATGCCTTTCAGATAAATAAATAAATTTTAAAAATTAAAAAATTTTGGGGGCTGGCATTGTGGTATAGCTGGTAAAGCTACCACCTGCAGTGCTGGCATCCCATATGGGCGCTGATTCAAGTCCTGGCTGCTCCACTTCTGATCCAGCTCTCTACTGTGGCCTGCGAAAGCAGTAAGATGGTCCAAGTCCTTGGGCTTCTGAACCCACATGGGAGACCTTGAAGAAGCTCCTAGCTCCCAGCTTCAGCTTGGCATGGCTCCAGCCGTTGCGGCCATTCGGGGAGTGAACTAGTGGATGAAAGGCCTCTCTCTCTCTCTCTCTCTCTCTCTCTCTCTGCCTCTGCTTTTCTCTGTGTAACTCTGACTTTCAAATAAATAAATCTAAAAAAAAAAAAAATGAGAGAGAACTTCATCGAGTCCCTCACGTGGGTGGCAGGGATCTAAGCACTTGGGCCATCTGCTGCCTTCCCAGGCACGTCATCAGGAAGCTACATTGGAAGCAGAGTATCGAGGACTTAGCACTCAGACATAGGATGCTGGTGGTTTCTTAGCCTGCTCTGCTCTGACACAGGCCACCACCTCCCATCGTATTTTTAAGAAATTACCTTCTATAAAAACAAACAACCAAACATTATTTATTTGAAAGGTAGAGTTAAAAAGAGATATTGATCTTCCATCCACTGGTTTATTCCCTGAATGGCCACCATAGTCAGGGCTTGGCCAGGCTGAAACCAAGAGTCAGGAACTCCATCCATGTCTCCCATGTGGGTGGTAGGGACCTAAGCACTCAAACCATCATCAGGTGCCCTCCCAGGTGCATTAGTGGGGAGCTAGATTGGAAGTGGAGCAGCTAAGATTAAAATCTATACTTGAATAAGGGAGGCTGGTGTCTCAGGTGGCAGCTTACCACACTGCACCACAGCACCAGACCTGCAGAATTTTTTTTAAATCAATAAATGGAACTGATGCTGATTAGGAGAATTAGCAATTAGTGTCTGTTTTCCAAAATGGCTTTTTTATTGCACCCACTCTTTCAAAGGAATTATATTTCTCTTGATACATATTACTTTTCAATTAATAGCAATTATGGTCAGTGATAAAATACTAAAAATATGTTTGGTGTCTGAATTTGTTTTTCACCAGGAAAGTACACTAGCAGATACCCTAAAGCTCATGTCTTCCCAGCCTCTCATGGTCTTAAAGAACAAAGCCTTACTGTGCAAGCCTGTCACACAGACCAAGGCCACCTCCTGCAAGCCACACACACAGCACAAGGAATGTCAGGCAGGTATGTGTCCCTGTGCTGTCCCATGTGGAAAGTCTGTTTTCTGGTTCACTTTTTCTTTTCTTTTTTTTTTAAGAAAGGATAAGTTGACAATTCTTGAATATTCTTCAACCACATGGCTTCAAATACATAATTTATCCTTTTATAATTATTGTTACTAGTTCTAATAACTACCAAGTTGAATCCGTATGCACACAAAGCATGTGTGGAGTAGGTGAGCATTTCTTAGACCTGTGCACTTGCAGTTCTCACGTGTGTAGACGAGCTATTCTAACTATGATACAGATTATAGTTAGAAGTATTGCTGACTTAACCTTGGGAATGTATTTTTTAAACACTGAATTCAATTGCAGGTTAATAAAAGTACACCTCATGTGCTTGAGGTGCTGTTGATCAGGAAAATCATTTGAGCTCATTGTTGAAAACGTGAAGCATTCCCCATCCATGTTGACTACTTTTAAATCCTCCCCTTATATTTTCAGTTACTTGAATAGCCAGCTCTGCCTAAATCATTTTTTATTTTTGTTTTTAATAATTTATTTCATAGAGTCTACTGTCTTTAACCACTTAGTCTATCAACACATAGTCAAGCTTTTTATATAGGGACTTTTCTTTTTATGGGAATGAAGGCGAATCCTGTCTTCCTTCCTCAGGAAATTACCCTCTTATAATCCCATTAAGACATACTTTTGTGTACACGAATTTATGTTACACATTCACATGTGGAGGGGAGTGGAATCTGTGTGGGTATGTGAACTCAGACTTCTTTGAACTTGCAGATTAAATATTGTATTGTTTTTATATACTGTTGTAAACGACTTTGTCATTTGACATTGCATTGAAAACATCATTCCACATCAGTATACATTTAAATATGCCTTGTGGTTCTTACTGGACAAAGATTCCAATATATGTAGCATAACCAACACCCTGTATATATATTTTAATTTTTATTTGTTTATTTGAGAGACAGGGAGCTACCATCTGCTGGCTCACTCAAATGCTTGCTTGCTTGCAACAGCTGGGTCTGGACCAAGCAGAAGCTGGGAGCCAGGAATTCAGTCTGGGTCGCCCACATTGAGGGGCAGGGACCCAACTGCTTGAGCCTTCACCTGCTGCTCCCCAGCATCTACATTACAGCAGAAAGCTAGAATCGGAGCAGAACCGGGACTGAAACCAGGCGCTCTGGTATGGGATGTGCATGTCTCAGCTGCCCGGCCACATGCCTGCCTCAGGGTTCTGAATATTGTAAGCAGTGTTGTGCTCGGCTCTGTTAATGGATCTTTGTCTACTTGTCTGATTATGTCTTCAGGATAAATCCTAAGCAGTAGAATTACAAATTCAAAAGCCATCATAGATTTTTAAGGCTTTTGGTACCTGTTGCTAAATTGCCTTGTGAAAAGTTCTGTCAATTATGCTCCAGTCAGCGGTGTTCGGGAAGATCTATTTCTTCACACCATCCCTGGTGCGTGGTGTTAAAATTAATAATTACTGCTTATATTTTCCCCAGTTTAATTTAGAAAAATTCCACCTTTCAGAGAGGTTGGAGCTACAGCACAGTGAGCACTAGTATGCTCCTTAGCTAGATTCCCAAAATGCTGACTTTTTTCCAAGATTAGATTTTTGTTCTGAATTGTTTGCAAGTAAAATAATTTATTCTTTTTTTAAAAAAATAATTTATTTTTAATTTGATAGTGTTCCGTGGATTTCCGCCCTAATCCCGATCATCTTATGGATACTTAGGATTACTTACACATATATCACAACCTACTTTTTTTTAAGTCAGTTACCAAGCTTTGGGTAAAAGAGAAATTGTTTTTAGTGGCATTCTAGAAGTACTCTGGTTTGTGTTGAAACTAGTCTCTGCATCCTGATGAAAATAAATTGTTAACAAAATGTAAATTTTAAATGTGTAAGAAAAACCATGAAGAACATTGTTCATTTGTTTTTGAAAATAACATGATTCAAATGTTCCATTTAGATTTACCTGTGCCTAATGAGAAAAATGAAGCAGAACTTGATTCTCCACCTGCGAAGAAGAAAAGAATAGGTTTTTTCCAGAAGTACGATGCAGAATATTTAAAAGTGGGTTTTATTATCTGTCCTGGATCCAAAGAAGGTTCACCACGGCCTCAGTGTGTCATTTGCGGAGAGATCTTACCCAGTGAAAGCATGAAGCCCGCGAATCTTTCTCATCATTTGAAGACAAAACATTCAGAATTAGAAAACAAACCAGTGGATTTTTTTGAACAAAAATCTCTTGAAATGGAATGTCAAAACAGTTCTTTTAAAAAATGTTTACTAGTTGAAAAGTCACTGGTGAAAGCTTCTTACTTAATTGCTTTCCAAATTGCTGCCAGCAAGAAGCCGTTGTCCATTGCTGAGGAATTAATTAAACCGTATTTAGTGGAAATGTGTTCGGAAGTGTTGGGTTCAACGGCTGGAGACCAAACGAAGAGCGTTCCTCTGACTAACAGTGCCATCGGGCACCGGATGGACGAGCTGTCTGCCGACGTTGAAGACCAGCTGATCGCCAAGGTCCGGGGCTCGCCGTGGTTCGCCCTCCAGGTAGACGAGTCGGCGGAGATCTCAGACGCCCCCCTGCTTCTGTGCTACATCCGTTTCATTGATCATGATTGTAAAGATATAAAAGAAGAGTTACTGTTTTGCCTTGAGATGCCTTCTCAGATGACTGGTTTTGAGATGTTTGAACTCATAAATGCCTACATCGGCAGCAAAGCTCTGAACTGGAAACACTGCGTTGGTCTCTCTGTGGACGGGGCTGCGAGCGTGACTGGCAGGTGTGCTGCTTTAAGGGCAAAAATTCGAGAAGCCGCCTCGGACAGAGTGGCGTTTACGCCTTGTTTTCTTCACCGTGAACGTCTAGCTGCAGAAGAGTTGTCCCCAGGCTTACACAAAACTCTTTTGCAGGCGGCACAGATGTTGAGTTTTGTCAAGAGCAATGCGTTGAATTCACGCATGCTGACAATTCTGTGTGAAGAGGCGGGGTCTCAGCACATGCACTTACCGCTTCCTGCTGAAGTGCGCTGGGTGTCGAGAGGGAGAAGCTTAACAAGGTTATTTGAATTACGGCATGAAGTTGAAATATTTTTAAATCAAAAGCATTCAGATTTAGCCAGGCATTTTCGTGATGAGGAATGGGTTGCAAAACTGGCCTACTTAGCAGATGTCTTTTCATTTATCAGTGAATTGAATTTAAGTCTCCAGGGGACTCTGACCACTGTCTTCAGTTTGTATAATAAAATCGAGGTGTTTAAGAAAAAGTTAAAAACGTGGTTGAGGCGCGCACAGGAGAATGATTACGACATGTTCCCTTCGTTCTCCGAGTTCCTGCACTCATCAGAGTCAAACACGGGAAGCATCCCAGGCATCATTTTTGAGCACCTGCTAGGACTTTCTCAGATGCTCGAAGCTTGTTACCCGGCAGCGGAAGACTTTCGTTCAGGAAACTCGTGGGTCGTGAACCCTTTCCTGAAACACCAAAACAATCATCTCACCCACGGGGAGGAAGAAAAACTCACACGGCTATCTTCAGATTCAGGGTTACAGTCAGTATTTAAATCAACGCCTCTCACTCAGTTTTGGATAAATGCAAAGGCAAGTTACCCAGAACTCCATGAAAAGGCAATGAAGTTTTTGTTACCTTTTTCGACTGTATATTTATCTGACGCTGCCTTTTCAGCTTTGACTGAGTCCAAACAAAGAAATCTGTTGGTTTCTGGCCCTGCCCTGAGACTTGCAGTCACGTCTTTAATTCCAAGGATAGAAAAGTTACTGAAGGACAAAGAATAGCAACGTGTATATTTGCTTATCATCAAAGGCTCTAATTTTGCGTTAAATTTTGTATAAGTACCCTAAAATATAATTTCCTAATGTGGATTTGTGCTTCCAGTGATTAAATAAGTGTTTTAATAACTTTTCCTTTTTCCCTTGTGGAGGAGTTTAATAGTTGTGCATTTGTGCATGATTACATAAACCCTTTGTAACCCACCGTAGAGAATTCAGTGTTTGCTAAGTCTGGATGAGTGGCAGAGCGCAGGTGATGACGCAGTAGCACCACCTGGAAGCACATGGGACCGCAGTCTCGGGCCAGCTAAGAGAGGCACAGCAGCAGGGGAGTCCGGGGTCCTTGCCCGGGGTGGCCCACTAATCAGGGCCAGACAGGAAGTACATGAGGCTTTGCTGGCCACTGTTGCAGCTACTCAGCCCACACACAAACGAGTGTGGCTGCCACAACCCAACTTTATTTAGGAACACTGGCATAGGAGTTTAATTCAGATTTTCATGGGTCACGAAAGCGCCTTTTTAATCATTAAAAAAATAAGAGGTGGGGGGCAAGTAACAAAGCCCAGACAGCTGCCCGGTGTGGTCAGCCCATCCCCACCAACCCCGCGCAAGAGCAGGTGGCTGGGGAAAGGCGCTCACCCCCTGGCCGAATCTCCAAACACCTTTCACATTTTCATTTCATCCCAGAGGATCAGAGGGGAAAGACCTTCCCGGCGAAGACAGAACAGGACAACTTAACAATGACTGGTTATTGATCTGTTACTAATAATAAGTTAATTTACAAATGACTTTCTAAGCTCTTAAGCTACAACCTCGGCAGAACTGGTCAGGCCTGGTCCCATTTACAGATGCAGACAGGGAGGCCCCGGGGGGTCGGGCGGCACCTGCAGGGACAGCTGATGGGAACTCCTCGGGACCCAGGGGCTGGGCCGGCCGCTCACAGCCAGTGGGCGCCCGGGTCCTGCGGGGCGAGGGGAGGAGGCCGCGGCCCGGGCCTTCCGGGCGCCTTGCGGGGAGGAAACGAGCCGGGGGCGGGTTCTCAGCGAGCCCGGCCCTCGGGCGACGGAGCGCGGCTTCCCGGAGGCCGAGCGCGGCCATGGCGCTCATGCTGGCGGCGCTCCGCATCCTGCTGGGCGGCTTCTTCATGCTCACCGGGGCCGCCAAGCTCTCGCCCGTCGCGGCCCCGGTGTCGCAGCAGTTGGTGAGCGGCGCGGCGCTGAGGCCTGGGGCTCTCCCCGGAGCCAGGGGGCGGAACCTCTTCTTCCGGTGGGCCTGGGTGGCCTCAGGCACCAAGTGAGCGGGAGGTGGGAGCTGCTCCCCGCATTTGGGGGGCGGAGAGAGGTTTGTGAGACCGGTCCAGGCAGCTCTGGCCTGCAGGTAAACCTGTTTGCTGAAGGCTCTGCAAAGGGCCAAGAAGCCGGACCCACACGGGACACCGGCCCAGCTCAGAATCCAGAGTGGGCCGGGGAAGCCTGGAGGCCACCTGTCAGCCCGCGCAGGCATTTGCCCAGCCCGGCCAGGAAGCCAGGCCTCCCCTCTTCCCCTCTACCCCTGGCCTAGGTGGGTGTGGGTGAGCCGCAGGGCGGAGAGGAGGAAGCAAGCGCACAGGTGCGGAGCACAGAGCTGGTTCCTGGTTCCAGGGCTCTGCTCCTCTCCCGGCTGTTGCTTTGTCGCGGGGAGCTGAAGGTGCAGCCGTGCGGCCTCTGGGCTGTGCCCCGCGGTGGGTGTGTGGCTGATGGGCATCTCCTGCCACCCCTAGAAAGTCCTGTTCACACGGTTTGCCGAGGTGTGCCCGCTGAAGTTGTTTGGCTACCAGCCAGATCCCAGGAGCTACCAGACCGCCGTGGGCTGGCTGGAGCTGCTGGCTGGGGCGCTGCTGGTCGCCGGCCCACCGCTGCTGCAAGGCATCAGTACCTTGCTCCTGATCTTGCTCATGATGGGTAAGGGGGCCAGCTGGCCTGGGCACAGGGGTCTCCTGGGGAAGAATGACGGAAAGAGCTGGCTGTTCTCCCTCCCGCTGGCCACCCGCCTTGTTTCTCTGGGACTTCTCCCGAGCGCTTCCTGCCCTGCTGCGGTTTCCACAGCCTTCAGACTTGGACTGTGCTGTTGCGACTTCACCTGTGCGACACTGGCCCGCGTCGGGCACAGCTTCTGCCTCATCCCTTCCAGTGGCTGTGTAGTTGTGTGGATGTGGCCGTGCACCCAGAGCTCCTAGTCCTCCCTCCACACACCCACTCCTGGGGTGAAGGATTGGAGCAGCCACGTAGGTGTCTGGCAGGTGGAGATGGGGAGTGGGGAAGCTGGGGCCCCTCCCAGCAGCTCTACCCACAGGTGCACAAGGCCAGCTGCTGCCTCAAAGGCCACGCACCCTCAGCCTGTGCCACCACCACCAGCCGCCCTCCAGGCTTGCTTTCCATGTCAGGAGCCTCCCTCATTTTCAGGTCTTTCCTGTACCTCCACCGCCAACTCCTGGGCCTCCTTCCAGGAAGTAGAGGTCTGGGAGAGGGGAGGATCAGGGAGAATTTGCTCCCCAGACTCCCTCTTTCCTGCCTCGGCCCCTGTCCTGTTTGGGTCGTTTCTATTTCTGAGGGCCCACATTAGTTGAAGAGACTCCTGACTCCTGCTCCTGCTTTTTCTGGGAGGCCAGAGATGAGTGTGGCTGGTTTGGGTGTGTGTGTGTGTGTGTGTGTGTGTGTATGCGTGCGCTGGGGTTGGGGGGCCTAGGCTGCCGAGGGTCAGCTCAGGCCGGACAGCCCTGAGCTCCTGGCGATCCTGGCACCCAGGAGGCCTTAGGGACCTCACTTTCTATCCCAGGGGCCATCTTCACTTTGGTGTCTCTGGAAGAATCCCTGAGCACCTGCATCCCGACCCTCGTCTGCCTGGGGCTCCTGCTGCTGCTGGATGCCTGCCGGCTCTTAGCCCAACCCCAGCAGGCACTCAGACCCAGCAGGAAGAAGACGGCGGCTCCGCGCGCGTTCAGGGAATCATGGGAGTAGAGGCTCTGCCTGATCGCGCCGTGCCACCCTCACAGCAGGAACATGGGACAGAGTCTGCTCCTTGTTACAAATATGCCCAAGGCCACTGGTGTGGAAAGAGACATCTCGTCTACCTGGCCCTGCACACTTGAACTTTACTGTTCTCTGTGGAGTACATGTTACATGGACTCACATTCCTCTTGTCACGTGAAACAAGCACCCCGAATAACCACCTTAAATCCCTTGGTATAACTGTACCGTTCAACTTTTTTCCTGTGCCTTTATACAGATAGGTATTTTTTTAAGGAAGGTGAAGCCATTATATCCCACTTCATTATCCACTTTTAAAGCCTAATACACTGCTACTGCATGTGGTGTCTGGTTTGTCTCATTGGCGGGAATGGCTACCTGGAATTCCACTGTAAGGATGACCCGCCACGTGTTCGTACCCCGCCCCCCTGGGAGAACATTTGGGTTGTTGCAAGGTTTTGTGGTCGTAAACCTCACAGTGAGTCACCTTTGCGTGTGTCCTTTCCGTACCAGTGAAGGAGCCAGTTCAAATGGCATGCACGTTTTCAAGGTTTTTAAAGCACATTTGAGGTTTATGTATTGACTATGGCAGTCTTTAGGCACCTGCTTCTGCCCGAGCCCTTCCAAGCCCAGTGAGGGGCTCACCGCTCCCACCTTAGATTTGCGGAATTATCAAGGGTGGCACTGAGTCGTGGTTCCTTCCAGCCCTGAGCCCGTCGGCCTGTGGTGGGGAGGTGTGGCACCCAGTCCGTTACTCCTGCCCCTCCTCCTTGGAGGTGGGGAGGCCTCCAAGCCCGTGGGGCGGCAGGACCGGAAGCCGGGGGAGCCCCAGAGGCCTTTGGCGGTGAGAAGGGAGTGTGTTTGTGGTAGGTTTTGAGGGATGGTGGACAACATGGCAGGGCACCATCTTCACCGTAGCCCCCTGGGGGCTTTTGGGAAGTAATGTGCCTCCCAAGAGGGAAAACTGTGAAGAAATGGAGTTCATTTATTTCTATAACCATTCCGGCCACCAGCCTACAAGTTGCTCTGCGGGTAGGGAGGCTGGCTTTGGGAGCCCTCGGGAATGGGTACCCCGGCTCTGACGCAGACTCCGTGACGCTCGCAGCTGATCCGCTCTTCTCGTGTCTAAAGCAGTGATGCAGACTGCCCACAGCAGGGTACGTGGCGATCTGGCTAGAACCCAGGACACGTGGCTGGGCTCCAAGCTGGAGGGATGCCTCACCCGAAGAGGCCCCGGTACAGTGCGGCCGCGGTGTTGGTTAATTTGGCTGCTTGCTGACAACATCAAGGACCAGCGTTCGTTCGTTCTTTCTTTCTTTCTTTTTTTTCTTTTTGACAGGCAGAGTGGACAGTGAGAGAGAGAGACAGAGAGAAAGGTCTTCCTTTTGCCGTAGGTTCACCCTCCAATCGCGCTGATCCGAAGCCAGGAGCCAGGTACTCCTCCTGGTCTCCCATGGGGTGCAGGGCCCAAGCACTTGGGCCATCCTCCACTGCACTCCCAGGCCACAGCAGAGAGCTGGCCTGGAAGGGGGGCAACCGGGACAGAATCCGGCGCCTGGACCAGGACTAGAACCCGGTGTGCAGGCGCTGCAGGCGGAGGATTAGCCTAGTGAGCCGCGGCGCCGGCCCAGCGTTCTTTCAACTTTCTGCTCTGCTGCTGTCAGTTTATTTGCTATTCTCCTCAGAGCTGCAAAATAGCTGCAGCGACTCCAGATGGCACATTTGTGCCTGACATCCACAGGTGAAGAAAGGGCTCTTTAAAGACCTTGGATGGCCCTCAGATCTCATTGGTCAGACATATGTCACATTTCCGCCCGTGGACCAATCACCAGCAAGGAGAATGGAATTCCCAGCCCGGACATAGACTAGCTGAGATTTGCTCATGGCTGGCTGACAAGGAAGACAGGAGCGGGTAGGCAGTAGTTTCTGCCACTTGCCTAGCTCATTTGCAAATATGGGTAAGAGTGACTACTTCATAGGCTGGCATGGAAGAAGTGGTCAGTACACAGCGGGTATTATTAAATATCCATTTGTTCTGGGGATGAGGAAATGGACTTGGAAGGCGCCAGTGCCTGTGTCAGACCTGGCACTTGAGCTAAGGCCTGTCCTTGCACCTACTGCCCAAGCTGGAAATGGGCAGGGACAGCACCTGGGGTGGCCCGTCCAGCACGATTACACCTGCCCTGCTTCCCAGAATGCCCCTCTGCGTGGACACTTTGAAGCCCACGTAAGTAGAGCTTGGCACCCCCGGGACCCTGGCTACTCTCTTCACTACTCCCAGGATGCCACAGCCAGCCTGTCTCCAGCCAGGACTGTGAGCAGAGGCGCGGACAGCTGGCGTTGCCTGGAGGGCTCTGAGGCTTTGCCTGTACGCCAGTGAGCAACTGGCACACTCCTCTCCCCAGACACCACAGCCAAGCCACAGGAAAAGCAGCGCGCCGCGGGAGCGGGCTGGTGCCTGGTGTGTGTGCGGTGGGGAGTTGGGATTGACAAGATTGACAGTGCCTGGAGCCCCAGCCGTGGCTCCCCAGCAGCCCCGGGGAGAAGCCAGGCCGCAGAAAAGAGCGCCACTCACCCAGGTCAGCTCAGAGCCACGCTGCTTAGCAGCCTGGCCTCCCTGATCCCTCTCCTCCCCCAAGTGCTGAAGACCCCCCTGCCCTGTAACGACAGTCCCTCTCCCCGGGGGCCCTCTTGTACCCTGGATCCTCAGCCCCTCCAGCTGTTGGGCCCATTCATGTCATGTCCTGGGCCCAGCCCACTGATGGGTCTGGAATGTGGGCGTGGGAGGGGATTCTGCTGTCTCCACCTTTTTTTTTCTTTTTAAGATTTTATTTATTTATTTGAGAGGTAGTTACAGAGAGAAAGAGAGAGAGCCAGAGATCCCATCCGCTGGTTCACTCCCCAAATGGCTGCAACGGCCAGAGCTGGCCGATCTGAACCAGGACCAGAGCTTTCTTCAGATCTCCATGTGGGTGCAGGGACCCAAAACTTGGGCCTTCTCTCACTGTTTTCCAGGCATAAGCCAGACTGGATTGGAAAGAGAACAGCGGGACTTGACCCGGCCCCATATGGGATCTGGCATGCAGCGGGAGGGCTTATTTTCTTCGCCAGCCCCTGTCTCACGCTCTTCTCTTCTTTTCCTTATCCCTTTTCTTTTTTTTTTTTTTTTTTTTTGGGAAGGCCCCTTCTTTTTAAACCCAGGCTGAAGAGAGCCCCAGCAGCCAGAACAGCAACAGGGAAGAGAGGACCAATCTGGTGGGAATATAGGGCGAGGTTCAGACTGGGGGGTCCCTGGGGGCTGTAGAGCCACTCAGGATTCCAGGAAGGACTGGAGCCCCAAAGGCTCAAAGGCAGAAATGCAGATTTCGGAAGTGGACACCCGAGGGGTGCATCCGTGTTAAAACAGCAGGGGGCTGGTGCCCCCCCCCCCCGCCGCATACACCCCCCTTGGGGGGAGGGTAGGAATTGGGCCAGATGTTTTTGTGGTGTTGTGTGTGCTGGGGGCATCTGTGTCTCTGACACCGTGTGTGTGTGGGGGGGGTGGTGGTGGTGGTGGGGTGGTGGGTGTGGTCTGTACACATTCATCTGTGCACTGCTGGAAAGGGAAGGGAGCTAACAGTTATGAAGCATCTCCCCAGTGTCAGCCACGGGGCTCTGAGTTTTACTTATGTTTCCTCGTCATCCCTGCAACAGCGCTGCGAGGTAGGTATTTTACAGCACCAAGACAGGCTCAGTGAAGCTGAGTAATTTGCCCAAGGCCACATGGCAAAAAAAATTGGAGGGTAGATACCCCACTTGTGGATCTAGAAGCTGGGTCGGCTTCCCAGGCCCGTGCTCTTTTTGTTTGGCTGCCGGAGGTTTCCACCCTGACTCGGGGCTCCTCTGTGGCCGGCAGGGGCAGGAAAAGGGCCGGTGCTGCGATGGAGCAACTGCCTGCGACCCCCACGGCTCACATCAGCCTGCCAGTGTGAGCCCCGCCCCTGTGCCAGCTTTGATCTGGCTCCCTGCTAATGCATCCTGGGAGGCAGTGAATGGTGGCCCAGGTGCTCAGGCCCTGCCACCCTCATGGGAGACCCAGGTAGAGTTCAGACTCCTTGGTCCAGTCCTGGCTGGCAAGGTCATTTGGGGAGTGAACCAGCGGATGGAAGGTGTCTCTCTCTGCCTCTCCCAGCCTCTCGGTAGCTCTGTCTTTCTAGCAGATGAAATTAAAAGCAGGGCCGGCACCGTGGCTCACTCGGTTAATCCTCCACCTGTGGCGCCGGTTCTAGTCCTGGCTGCTCCTCTTCCAGTCCAGCTCTCTGCTGTGGCCCGGGAGTGCAGTGGAGGATGGCCCAAGTGCTTGGGCCCTGCACCCCATGGGAGACCAGGAGGAAGCACCTGGCTCCTGGCTTTGGATCAGCATAGTTCCGGCCGTAGCGGCCATTTGGGGGGTGAACCAACGAAAGGAAGACCTTTCTCTCTGTCTCTCTCTCTCTCACTGTCTAACTCTGCCTGTCAAATAAATAAAAAAATAAATTAAAAGCAAACAAATATTTAGCTACAACAAAGAGGCGAGTGAAGAGGAGACAGGCCTGGAAGCTGGAGAGAGGTGAAACCTTTGCAGCCCTGCCAGGGAGCTGCAGGCGAGGGCCTTGGCCAGGGCAGGGCCCAGGTGGCTGTGCACCGGGCTGCACCTTGGGGACTGCAACACATGGCCATTCCTCCACTCCTGCTTTGCTCCCTCCCCCTCCCAGCCTGGGTGGCACTAGGAAGGGCCCTGGGGCTGTTTCTAGGAGTGGTTTCCAAGTGGGCTGCCTGCACAGGGCTGTGCCCCTACACAGCTGAACCCTCCTCCATCTGTGACCACCACCCCCACCCTCCCTGGTCACCAGGGCTGGAGACTCCTGCCTGCCTCTTCCCCATTTCCCAGGGCTCACAGTCAGGAAGTCTGGAGTCCACCTCCTGTTCACAACCCGCAGCTGCAGGCCACGTTCCTGCCCCTCTCTCAAGGAAGTCTTCTTACCTCTGTGGTCCCCTCCCAGCAAGGGCTGAAGAAGAGGGGGCAGGGCAGGAAGAGGTGGGTTGGGGGCTTCTCTGGTGCTAGCCTCCCCAGCAGCCTCTTCCTCTCCCCATTGCAAGGTCAGTGATGAAGAGCAGTGTTGGAGACCTTGGTGCTGGCCGCTGTAGCCCCTGGGATGACCTTGACCGCTTCATCGTGGTGACTGAGGCTGATCGCTGCATGTGCACCTGCTCAGCCTGGCTCTAGCCGGCGTGCTCTGCTGCTGCGGCTCACCTACTACTTCCAAGAGAGGCTACTGACTTGCTCACCTGAGCGGCCGCGGCCTTCGGGGCGCTCGGCAG